CGGGTCCGGTGAGTTCCGAGGAAGGGTCACCGGACCCGAAACGTTAACTCTGTTTTCTCCTTCACAGATGCTGCCAGACCTGCTGAGCTTTTCCAGCAACTTTGTTTTTGTTCCTGATTTACAGCATCCGCAGTTCTTTTGGTTTTTATTCATCCAGAGACCTTGATTGATTGATTGATTGACTTATTGTTGTCACATGTACCGAGATACAGTGAAAAGTATTGTTTTTGCATGCTATACAGGCAGATCGTACCATACAAAGTGCGTCAGGGTAGCAGTACAGTGTGCAGAATACAGTGTTACAGCCGCAGAGAAGGTGCAGGCAGCGAACAGAATTAACATTTGAGGAAGGGTCACTGAACCCAAAACATTAACTCTGATTTGTTCTTCACAGCTGCTGCTGAGTTTTTCCAGCAACTACTGTTTTTGTTATTATTTGAGAGGTTTGTTCAAAATTCTGATAACTGCAGCGAAAAAGCTATTCTTAAATCTATTCGTACATATAAACTTTTACATGTTCAGTCCGACGGAGGAGGAAGGAAGAGAATATAACCGGGACGGGAGGAGTATAAGTAATGTTCTGTGGACTTGGGATTGAATCCTGCCGGAACGGATGGAGGAATTTGAATTCTATAAAAATCTGGAATAAGGAGTCTAATGATGACCATGAAGCCATTGCTAATTGTCAGGAAAAACCCATCTGTGCTTACTGATGCCCTTTAGGAAGAAAATGGCCAGACCATTAGTGAACCACATGGGTTTTTACAACAGTTGAAGTGGTTACATGCAAGCAATTGAGGCTAACCTTTTTATTCTAGATTTGTATTGAATTCAATTTTTTTTTCATCTGCCTTGGTGGGATTCAAACCCATGACCCCTGAACATTAAGCTAGGGCTCTTGGATTGGACCAGTCCACTGACATAGCCACCATGCCACCGCTCCTCCATCCTCTTGTAATGTCACTCTCATATGAGTCACCTCTCTTGTTGCTCTTGTCGATTTTTTACACCGACAATCATGGTGTCCCAGTGCCAGGGGGATACTGAACCTGATGGTAGACAAACCAACTGAGCAAACTCCCCCCTTGGGATAATATCAAACGTGTTGTGTCATTGTGAGGCCGTAGCATTCTGAGTGTTCCATCACACGCTGGACAAGTCAAGTAGATGATTCAGAGGCTTTGAGGAGTCTTGATGGGGTGAGCCACCTTATCACAGATTATCCATCCTGTTCCGTTCTTATCAATGGCAATCTCCAGGATATTATTCTTGAGGACCCAGCAATGACGGTGTTGTTGAAAGTCAAGGGGAAGTGACAGGATTTCTCTCTTTCACAGTGTTCTTTACTTGGCATTTACATCAGCAGAATGTCAGCAAAACGAAGGAGCTGGTCATTGCCTTCAGGATATGGAGCTTCAGGAAAGCACGTGCCTGTCTGCATCAATGGTGCTGAGGTGGTGATGGTCAACAGCATCAGGTTCCTTGGAATGATGGTCACCAGCAATTTGCCCATGTTGACATCACGGTCTAGAAAGCACAGCAACACATCTACTTCCTCAGGTGGCTAAGGAAATTCAACATGTCCGTAAACACTCTTAATATTTTTATAGATGCACCATAGAAAGCATCCTATCTGGATGGTATAGCAACTGCTCTTCCCAAGACCGAAAGAAACTACAGGGAAATTACAGGGAGAAACTACAGGAACGCAGCCCACTCTATCACACAAACCAGCTTATTATCCATTGATTCCATCTATACTTCCCACTGCCTTGGCAAAGCAGCCAACATAATCAAAGACCCCTCCCACCCCATTTATAATCTCTTTCACCCTCTTCCATTGGGCAGAGGATACAAAAGTTTGTCTACGCGTACAAACAGATTCAAGAACAGCTTCTTCCCCGCTGTTATCAGACTTTTGAATGGACCTCTTTAATGTTAATATTAATGTCTCTCTCTGCACCTTCTTGACAGCTGTAACACTGTATCCTGCACTCTGATTTGTTACCTTGATGCACTTTGTGTAACACAATCTGCCTGTAAACCCTGTAAGACAACACTTTTCACTGTACCTCGGTACACATGACAGTAATAAAGCAAATCAAATATGTGGTGCAATTGCTTTCAGCTCAAGCTGAGACATCAGCACCCTGCTTTAGGCTGGAAAGGGAAAGGATTGTTTCAGTTTTGGAGGAGTCACAAAAACTGTGGAATCATTGAATTGTAACAACACAGAAGACCATTTCATCTGGCCCATCAAAA